GATCCTTCCACGTCAGCCTTCCAAGTAGCCGGAATTACAGGCATGCGCTACCACGCCCGGCTGATTTTTTGTAGAGATGACGTCTCGTTGCCCAGGCGAGTCTCGAACTCGCGGGCTTAGGCAATCCACTCACCTCAGCCTCCCAAATGTGCGGGATTACAGGCCGAGCCATCGAGCCCGGCGATCAACATTTTTAGACTCCTTATTCTACCTTAAATCCTGTCATATTTCATATATAAGCTTACATATTAAAATATGAAAATGTAAATTAAATTTACATATAAAATGACAGAATCAGTATGCTTAATATATAGAGATCTTATCAATCTATTAAAAAAACCCACTAAAGGTAGACCAGTGTATCAATTTCATATAGTTCAAACTATCAATCTTTTATTTTGTAATTACCTAATTTGCCTTAAATTTGGAAGTCTTTTTTATCCAGAAGTCAGTTAGAGGATCAAGTATTTATTCTAGGTTTTTAAAAAATATTTTTCACAAAATTTTTTTAATTCACTCAAAACTTATTTTGGTGTGTGGAGTAAAATAAAAACCTGACAAATTTATTAGAAGGAATTTCTAATTCTTTCTTCACAGGTTTATGTTTTCAAATTTTCCCGGGATTACATAGCTTAGTTGGTGAAAGAACAGATCTAGAACCAGACTGCCTGAATTCCAATCCCTCCTCTGCTGACATGTGTCTTGACCTTGAGGTCTCCTGAGAACACCGAGTCCGTGACCTCGAGTCCCTTAACCTCTTGTGCCTCAGATCCTTCAACCTGTAAAGCGGTGATGCTAGCTACACTTCCTGGGGTTGTTTTGAGAACAAAGCATACTAAGATATAGAAAGTGGTTAGAAAAAAGCCTGGCACGCGTATGTTGCTATGCAGAAGTATCTATATCTTCTGTTACATTCATTTGTCAGATTCTTGTATCAGAATTCTGCCACATTACTGTAGCTCTACAATAAATTTTAGTGTCTGGTAGAACAAGATGTCCCTTTTCTCTTTTCATTTTTAAAATTTAGCAATTCCTGCTGGTTTATTTTTCATTTAAAACTCAGAATAATTATTGGGCTCATGCCTGTAATCCCAGAACTTTGGGAGGTCAAAGCTAAAGGATTACTTGAGCCCAGGAGTTTGAGACCAGCCTGGGCAATATAGTGAGACCTAGTCCCTACAAAAGTAAAAAAAAATTAGCTGGGCATGGTGACATGCACCTGTAGTCCCAGCTACTTGGAAGGCTGTGGTGAAGGATCACCTGAGCCCAGGAAGTTGAAACTGTGGTGACCTATGATCAGGCCACCGCACTCCAGTCTGGTAACAGAGTGAGACCCCGACTCAAAAACAAACAAACAAATTTATAATAATTATTCCAGTCGGGTTTGGTGCTCAGCCTGTAATCCCAAGCACTCTGGAAGGCCGAGGCAAGTGGATTTCCTGACCTATGGGTTTGAGACCAGCCCAGGCAACTTGGTGAGACCTCATCTCTACAATAAAATAAAAAATAGCCGGGATGGTAGTGTGCATCTGTAGTGCGGCTACTAGGAAGGCTGAGGCGGAAGGATCACCTGAGCCCAGGAGGTTGACGCTGGGGTAGCCGTGAGTGTGCCATTGCACTCTAGCCTGGGTGACGGAGTGAGACTCCAGCTAAAAAAAAAAATAAATATTATTATTATCAAGATTCCACCAAAAGGAAAAAAAACTCTAGAATTTTTAATCAAATTGTCTTAGAATTTGTAAAACAATCTGAGAACTAAAATTTCAAGTAATAGTCAGAGGTCTTATATAAGTTTTCTTCATTAAGTGCCAAAACCTCTCATTAAAATTCTTCCTAAAATTTTATTTTTTGGCTGCTATGAAGTTTTCTTCTTGTCATCCCACTTCATCACTACTCACTCTCTTCTCCCTCCCTTCCTTATTTTTCTTTTTTTAAAAAAATGTATTGATTTATTATAAAGATTTGGGGTGCAATTCAGGGTTAGGTATACAAACATTGATCATGCAGATATCCTTGACTTCCTTATTTTTCTATCGAGTATGTATCTTACATTTTTTGTCTATTTGCCTATTAAGACAGGAAATTAGGTCTATTTGGTTGACCAACATCTGCCCCACTACTCAGAATTTAGTCTGCCATATAAATATTGGCTGAATTAATAAATGAATACAGGAAGAAATGTAATGATTGTATTTTGCATGTAGTGACTATTGAATTTTATTTTAAAACAGATTCTCATGTTATTAAGGTAGACAAAGTAGACAACCCTAACTCTAACGATAACAATGCTTTCGCCGGGCTCGGTGGCTCAGCCTGCAATCCCGCGCCTTTGGGAGGCTGAGGTGAGTGGATTGCCTGAGTCCGCGGGTTCGAGACCCGCCTGGGCAGCGAGACCTCATCTCTACAATAAATCAAAAAATCAGCCGGGCGTGGTGGCGCATGCCTCTAATTCCGGCTACTTGGAAGGCTGAGGTGGAAGGATCGCCGGAGCCCAGCAGGTCGAGGCTGAGGTGGCCGGGAGCGGCCACTGCACTCCAGTCTGGGCGACAGAGTGAGACTCCAACTCAAAAAAAAAAAAACACAAAAAAAACCCCCAAAAAAATGCTTTCACCTTGTTTAAACGTAAGTTTATTCACTTACAACAATACGAAATACAATAATAATAGCTGTCTTTCTGTTACTAATTTTATTAGGAAATCCTAAAATAGAATTTTGCTTTTAGAAAACAATCACTGAAAGGCATTATTTAAAGCTTAACAACTTTAAAATCTTGGTATGGGAGCCGGGCTCGGTGGCTCAGCCTGTAATCCCGCGCCTTTGGCAGGCTGAGGTG